TTGTGGCTGTTTCATCGATATTTCACTGTGCATTTTGTGTGTGCTCTATTCGGCCGTAATGGAGTTACAGCAGATGCCGTTGCTCGAGAAGAAAGCGCTTTTGCGGGAAAATGTGAAGTATTTGGCAGCAGTGCTGGGAGCCGAGATATGCCTGGGAATAATGCGGCTCCGAGCTCACGGCATGTACCATGCGCAGCTCTGCCGTATCCACGATATGTTCAATTTACAGCTAATTATGTGCGTCTTCTCAGTGATCATTTATATTCGAATCAAAGAGTAAGTGTTTCAGAAATTTTAAAAATGCAAACAATGAATATCTCGGACCAGGAGGGAATTAGATGAGGGCGAAGGCCCTGAAGTCTGTATGAGTTCTTTTTCACACTTAATTTAACTCATAATGTGGTTCACCAGCTATGCAGTTGTTAATTTTCCTGGTTGCTTTAATCAGTTTTTCATCATCTATTGATTAGCCGATTGCTGGCGATCCTAACGTTCGTTTCGTTTCTTGGATGAATTACGAACTTAAAGGCTGTCTTGACAGAAACATTTGTTAAGATTTTTGCTGTTTTGTCCGTGATTTATATCGAATATATCCATTTTACTGGGAATGTTGCTAATCCTAAACCACGATGAGGCACCTACTGACTGGGAGAAGCAACTTATAAATGAGAAATAGAAAATTGTGTGTATCAGTTTTATTATTAATTACTAATACCAGGACTAATATATAATTTACTTTTATATCTGTTGTTAGTTATATCTTATTGTTAGTTATTTGTGTCTTACTACTAGTCATTTATGCGTTTTTAATTGGTTTATTATTAGCTATTCATGTGTTTTGGGTCTTGCATATCCGAACACAGGTATTTCTATTTCTTATTCATAAGTTGCCTCTCCTAGGCGATAAGGTGCTTCATCGTGATCTAACATCGCTAAAATAGAGTACCCACACCGATAGTCCGGGTGGTTTTCGTATTTTTTGGTGTACGTTTATTTCAGCTTCCTAACTTCATTATTCCTTAGCATATTTGCGTTTAGTGGCTTTATTATGCCAGTATTGATTTACCATCTCAAGGAATGAATTATTTATAAAAAGACTGATGATTCATATAGCGGAATCGAACCACCGTCCTTCAATAAAAGAATCGAATCGCTGTTCTTCAGCCACTTTCCACTCTGCTCTGTCCGCTACCATCAGCGGTATTGCCAGAAGGAGCATCCCAGTAACATCATTAACATCATATCTTACAATCTCCGAGGTCCTTCACCTTTTATATAAATTGAATAAGAAAAGCCTTTTAATATTTTTGCTTATTATAATGTGAAAATATTCGGAATTCCAATGTGTCTCGTTGAAAACACAATCATTTCAGAATGATTAGATCATTGTCTGTGCTGTTGCAAGATTCGACAAAAACATTGACGTTGCTCTGTGCACTGTTATCACATATTTCATTTCTATTTTTCTATGTTTATTGGCCCGATGGCAGCTTAATCTCTGCGATTTGGTGAGATTTTTTTACTTTTATATATTCATAAATTTGAATACGATTAGCTCATAACTGTTTCCAGCTATATCGATGATAGGAGGAAGCGTAAAATTGCATTTTCTGGAAATAAAATAAATGCGTAGCCCTAGAAAGTGGTATTCAGCAACATTTTTGGGTCTTCTTTTGGTCATTTTTTACAAATAGGTGTAAAAAAGCAGGCTTGTGTTGTATACCAATGAAATTAATGGAACTAGGCGTTGTCTGCATGTTATGTTTTAGCATAACGCTATCAGAATAATTGCGAGTAGGGCGATATCAGAAAGATTTGTTAAGAAGTACAGATAGTGGCTTGGGGTACAGTGGCGTGAGAGCAATGTTTATACACTTTTTGATAAGCTCAGTTCATTTTGGTGGTCATTTATCGTGATTTTTTTTGATAAATTGGTCTGGCCAATTCTTCCAGTTTCAGCTAATTTCCATTCTTTACACTAAAAATGCATAGTTATCACATGCACTTTAATTATGCATTGCTTTTCAGTTTTATCTGTTTATCAGTTTATGTGCATTTCTGTTTCTTCTTGTCGATCTCAGCAGTTCTGGAAATTGTCAGTTCACGATTGGCCTCTTGGCCCGATTCATTTCTCATTTTTCGTTCAGCGAAATTTAATACGGCTTTATCGCTATCATTGGCGCTGTTTCTAACCATTTACGGTTTTGCCGTCACTCGTTCAGCACCTGTGGTATGTCTTTAATGTAGTTTTTTGCAGTTGTTTTTTAGTGTAGTTGTTTTTGATGTGGTTATTTTATTTTTCCTAACATAGTTGTTTGCAGTATTTTTTTTTTTTAATGTGCTTGTTTTTTTTGTTCGTTGCCCAGGGAGGCAGTGCTGTTCAAAACACATCAAGGACGGCTCGAAATTATCGCAAAAGAATTGTTGAGCTGGTAATATCTGCGGGAACGAACCTAAATGTGAGGATTGTCAGCAGTTTGACCACGAAGCAGTACAGCAGTCTTAGTCAAAGCGACTGGAAAAATTGCGGCTGGCCTGCAGTGCCAAACAAACTTTCATAGTTTACATTTTTGAAAAAATTTCCGAAACACTTGCCATCTGCATTGCTGGGAAACCAGATTATGAAATACAGCCTATCTGAGTATTCTGAGTAACTTATGTTTTTTCTTTGAAGACGGAAAAAGAAAAAAAAAGCGAGGCATTAAAACACAAAACTGATCTGCTACAAAAAAGAATGGACATGTAGATTCCTAGATATTTGTATTTGTTTGTTTGAATTGGAATAAACTGCCTAAACTGTTTTGACAGTTAAAAATACCCTATATTATCCCTCTGGACGTTGGTAAATAATGTGTGAACTATTTCAGGTAAATCGGGTAAATGTAAGAATCCAGGATCTCCCAGAATCGTTGCATGGATTCACAATTGTATTGCTGACAGATATCCATGTGGGTCCCACCGTCGATCGTAAGCGTGTTGAAAAAATTGTCGCAAAAACGAATGCTTTACAACCAGATATGGTCGCTATTGCGGGTGATTTAGTTGATGGATTTCTTCCAAATTTGGCACCACGAGCTATGCCGTTGGCTAATCTGAAATCAAAATATGGAACATACTTTGCTACAGGTTTGTTACCAATTTTTTTTTTCCCAGAATCTATGACATATTCTTATTTGTTTCTAATTCTGCTATAGTTTTAGGCATCTTTCGAATCGAATTTGTTAAGTAAATTAAGAAAAATAGTGATAGAAGTGGTATGCCGGGGAGGATTTGCTGTAAGTTCAGATCAGTATGGGAAGTATTAAATTAAAAGACAATACGAGGCCCCCCTTATATTAAATTATGTGAAAGGTGGTGACTTTCAAAAGTAGCATCTGAGCTATTATCAATAGCATCTGAGCAGCTGCCGGTTAGCAAAGCTGTCAGTGTTTTTTTTTCTTCCGATGGTTGTTTAGAAGTAAGCTGATAATAATTTTAACTCTCTGGGAGCAGGGAGGAATTTGTTGCCTTCACGCAAAAGCTAAACGCCGCCTTCACGAAACTATCGGAAACCTTTTAAACGGCTGCTGCTGGCACAGTAGTCTTCAGACTTTCATTTTATTACTGTCAAAGTTGTCTGTTTAGCCCAAAGCAGTATAGCCATTTATGACAGTGGTTACGTTTCGTTTGACATTTTGTTCTCCACAACTTTAATTGATGGATTATGGTTGTCTTTACAACAGAAAGGAAAGAAAGGACCATGAAGGTCCAGCCAAAAAGCAGCAATTCCAAGCTGGAATGTCGGGGTTATGGTAGATGTGCGGTGATAATTTGCGGCCGTAGGTAGACCAAAGAATAATAAATAAAGTAGAGGACTGTAAAAGCTGAAGAAAGTCCGGCACAGCTGAATTCTATGTGGTTGAGGGCTGGATGAATAGAATTTGATAAAGAATGGTGGCGGCTAAGATAGGTGGGTTGTTGATGTGGAACAAATCAGTTCACAAGTAAAATGGATATGTTTCAGGGTATATGTAGGGTGGTCTCATCCCTTAGCTGTAAACACAGACAGTGCAAGGTGTGGTTAGGGTGGGAATCATCAATGTTTGTTACCCCTCTGCTGAGAATGATTTGTGCTAGTGCCTGGGAATAAGAATTTCAGTACGTCATTTCAACAGCTCCCTGATGTTCTTAGCTTTAATGATTTCTGCTTTAATTATTAATGAGGTTAATCTTGGGAGGAGTGGGGAGGAGGGAGGGGAGGAGTGTTCATTGGAAATAAGTTTGTTTTTTTTGTAGGTAACCACGAGTACTATCACGGTGACGTGGACGCATGGCTGAATTATTTCAAATCACAGCTTAACTTCACTGTTTTGCATAATTCACATCGCGATTTGTGCACGAACAGTGACGATTGTCTTTGTGTTGCTGGCGTGGATGACTTCTATACAGGTATTTTTACATTGTCAGTAAAATTTTCCTCTGCTTTGACTTGTTCTAAGTTAAATTACTGACGCAGTAACGGTTCTTGTTAAGAAGTATAGGTGCTTCAGTGGCTTCAATTCTTCCTGCATAAATTGTATATCTACCCGCTTGATCCCACTACTGCATATTACTCTCCGGGTAATTCGTTTGATTATAACATCAAATCCAACCGTTCGTAGTAAATTAATTAATGTAATTAATGTAAAAGTAATTAATGTAAAATGTAATTAATTAATGGTTCTGGCTGTACAGTTGTAATTTTGTTGTTTGAGTAATTAATGTAAAATTATTTGCAGAAAGACTTCGAATTGCGCATCATCACATGGATGCGGAGAGAGCGCTTGAAGGCTGTGACGACGCACAGCCTGTTGTACTACTCGTACATCAACCAAATGGTGCGAAGAAAATCGTTCAGAATACGAAGAAAAGAATCGACTTGATTCTCTCTGGTTAGTTTCTGCAGACGGCTAAATCGTAGTAAAATCGAAAGTCCCTCACTAATATAACGAAAATAACGACAAAAATTAAAATGATTTATCAAAATTGATAGAAAAGCCGAGGATTGGCCTTTCTTTATGATATTAGTGTCCTGAAATAATTAAAATATCTGATACTTCACCCTGTATTTCTCTATTTACGTAACTAAGCAACTTTTCGTTTACTTTGATTCGTTTGATATTCGCACCGCTGGCTATCTTGACATTCGTTTTATCTCCCGAAAGGGTTACCAATTCAACGTTTTTCCAACAACTTAGTACTGCTTTCGCCCCTTCCTTGGTTTATGATGGTATGACCTGCTGGTTCCGAATAATTCCCACTCTTAGACCAGGGTAAAGTATCTTACGAATTGCAAGGTTCTTTTTTGTATATGATAATAAAAATACGAAAATATGTTTTTTTGCTGTCTCATTTAGCTCCACAAAACGTTGCGGCTAGTTTTATTTCCACAGTTACAGGGCATACGCATGGTGGACAGTTTTATATAATGTGGTTGATCGCCTACCTGAAGAATGCATTTCTTTACGGTCATTACCAGATGAAAAACAGCAACACTCAAATTTACGTATCGCCAGGCGTTAACTACTGGGGTCCACCTGTAAAAATGCTTAATTTATGCGAAATAACTTTACTCACGCTACATGCATGACTGCATCCAGAACATGTTTTGTATGATATATGACTGATTAGATTGTAATTTTGGTACTAATGCTTTATTTAGGGTAACAAATTACCATGATTCTGGCTGTACAGTTGTAATTTTTGCGTCGTTCTCTCATATGCAGATAACTGAGAATCAGTAAAAATTTTCTGAATCAGTAAAACCAGGCGAACGAATAGTTTTCTGATTTTGAGCCGAAATACGGTGGTTTCTCACTTCATTTTTGCTTTAACACATTTTTCTTTGCACTTTTTTGATTTTATTTAGATAAACTTATAGACTTAGTTTTGACCATTGTGAGCCAAAGTAAATTTTTTCTCTGAAGACAGTTTTTTAAATCCGTCAGTTCAAGTACATAAATGCAAAAATGGCTTGTGGAAGCAAAATTCCGACTCAATTTTTTTTCGATATTTTATATTTTTTCTCTGGTTTACTTGGTTCTGCACTGTATATTGAGAAATTTTTGAAGATTAAGTGTATTTCGTATTGTTTGATCATTCGAATTTATGTATCCCCTGTATTATGGTAGACGGGTTCGTTGTTGATGTAGTACGTGTTGTTTAATTTCATTCCAGTCTTCTTTCTCATTTCTAGCCCTACATTTGTGTCAGTATCTTAAAATAAGTCATTTGACCCACATCCGAATTCTTTTGGAGATATTTGACATAGAATTAACTGCAGACGATAAGGAAAAGCAAAGCTGGAACTGATTGTCTTTAATATTTGGAACCTCAGACTGCAGTTCCGGGCCGAGAAATTTGTAAAATTTTTCTAATTTTATTTATTAATTCTTGTAAGTTGTGAATTTCTAAAATTTGCAATAAATTTTTGTTTTCTTATCTTGTTATTTGTGATTTTAAAGGTATGAGCTGCATTAATTTTCAGTATTGAATTTTCCTGTGCCATAATTTCATCTAATTCCATGTTATAGAGTTTATTTAAGTTGTAGTGCTGATTACCGAATAAATATTGCATGATGTTCTGTTACTACAACCACTGTGATCGATATGGGTTGGATTATCACGACACACTGTCTGCCTTTTAACCAGGACTGTTCAAATGAGAAATGCTGCTTTTGACTCTGACTTTTCATTTTTTTGTAAAAAAACATAAAAAAAAATTCCACCTTTTTTTTTAACTTTTATTTTATTTGCTACTTAATAGTGACACAAGGAGTTTTGCAAAATCATAATTTTTTTTTTTAATTTTGTTTGTTTTATTTTTTCTGCTATTTTGTCTGCTTGTTTTGTTTATTCTCAGTTAGATGTTTTTAGGTGGCCTCCTTTCATGAACGGGACTCTCTTGTTTGATCTCTTTTATTCTGCAAAATTTTCTGGAAATTGTTTTTTTGGATTTTCATCGCTTTTATCTATGAGCGCAGCCACCATGTTCTAATTTGAAAACACCAGCTGTTATCTTGTGGGATAATTTTCCCAGCTGTTGTGCATATCAGAATCGTCGCGTATTTTTAATTTTCGGTTGGTTTTACTTCGACTACATTGGAAAAAATGCGCTTTTTTTGAGTAAAATTAAAAAATTTTGTTGCCGCTACAGTTTTCCCTAGTAGAGTTGGTTTGAAGTCAAATCATAAGCCTCTTTCGTTCGGAAGGAAGGGGAATTGGTGAAGGAGGGCAAACGGAAGCACGATGAGCGTAGGATTATGTAGATGAAGTGCATGGCATAGTGGGTCGTTTGATTTTTATCTAAAATGGTGAGTCGTTCATGCAGTTTGTTTTATCATCATATGACATCGGAAAAACTCTCCTTTTTCTTATATGGATTAAATTTTTCTTAACTTTTTGGTCGGATTTTTCCTCTTTTTTTTTTTGAATTTCTGCTTATTTTATTTACTAATTACTAGAGGCACGAGAAGTTTTGCAGAATAGTAATATTCTTAGTTTTTTAATTGTTTTTTTGGTTGGAATGAGCAAATTATTTTTTACGCGATTCAAAAAGATGCTTTCTAATATACTAGAATGAACAACCAAAGGTCATATGTCAAGTATTCAATTGGTATTTGATTGGTACCGAATAATTGTTATTTTGGTTGTACTTAACGGCCACCAGCCACTCGTCTTCTCACTGATGCTTTCCTCGAAAACTGCGAACTTAATTTTACCGCCATGATCAGCTTGTTGAAAACATATCCTTGTGCATAAGGATGATCTGACACTGCCGAAGTGCCGGCAATATCCGATCGTCCATATTGCGGGAAAAATAGTGTATCAGTAGCAAATACGGTAGCTGGAAGGAGTTGGAACAGCGGAAATAGCTGAGGATGTCGTTTTGATCATAAAATGCCTCCATTCGAGGAGGGCCAGATGCGCCACGGGCCGATTCTCATTTTAGCACTTTCAATAGCGGCTATTTCCATTATTGCCTTTCCTCTGGCCTTCACTCCTGGGCAGTAACATTTCGTGCATTTTTTTCCATTTCTGTTGACTCTAATTTGTCAGTTTTTTCGCTAACTGCTGAAAAACCTGTTTGCAGATTCATGTGTTATGGATGTGAAATGTGTTTGTTTTGCGTTGATCGTCCTGTCGACAGCTGTCGTTATATTTATCAGAATTTTTGGCAGCTCACTGTTCGGAGTAATTTTTTTGATACTCTATTTTTCATATTGGTTCTGCGTGAGTTGCGCAGTTGTCACACTGGAGGTGAAGAGATCGACGGGGCAGCTAGTCCCTGAACGATTCGTTCATTCGTTTCGATGGCAAATTGATACTAATTTTTGCCAGGGATCTGCTATCGGTTTGATGCTAAGCAAACTTTAGAAGAGAAAGACATCGACAACCTCACCAGCAAGTGGCTCTATTGTCCACGTTCTGCCCCTCGTACTACTTTGCCTTTCGCAGAGGGAGAAAGAGTGACTGATGAACGAGTTTTATTTATTTTCTTTAATTTTGGGTCCATTAAATTTTTTAGCCTTCTATGATTCCCAATAAATTAAACTTTGTTATTTTTGCGAATTTTTCTGAAAATTTGGCTGAACTTTGGTGACTGAAATACTTCTTTTCAGCTTAGCTTTTCAAAGTTTGATTGTTGTAAGTTTTAAATTTCGCCAGCTCCCTCCTTTGTTTCATTCTATTCCTCTCAATTTTAGTTTTAAATTTAATTTTAGCTGGACAGCATACATGATTATCGCAAAGGCAACAGGGCCCGTCAATTGGCCGTGCTTGAGTTGGCCTTCTTCATGATCCCATTCCATGTTTTCGCATATTTTCGACTAGTGCAGTTTACACATTACTGGTTATCGGATAGGAGCAATGATCGGCTGAAAAAACATCATCCAACAAGGGTAATATTCCCTAATTTTCCTTAGTGTGTTGGGTAATTTTCCGAAAAAAGATTTTAGTAAAGGGGAAAAAGACGGGCATGAAAAAAATGTCTTTTTGAAAATTCCCAATTTGTAAGTTGTGGTATCTTTTGGTTTTTTTTTGGGGATTTGCATCTCTCTTTCGCCCAGGAAATTTAGATTATGAAATTTGTGTTGTAATCGTTCTGCCAAATGAACATCTTCCCCCTATTTTTGGTAGGATTCTTCCTGGATTTGTTTATTTAAATTCGTTTTTTATTCAAATTTAATTTTTTCCCATTTTGGGCAGCCAGATAAAGTAAAATGAACGCTTGATAAGCATGTACGCTTTTATTTCTCTGTGCTTTTCTGAGTCATCCCATAAATTTTTTTTGAGAAAGGGAGGGCATTATTACCAGTAACATATAGCATTGTGAATAATATTGTTTCAAACTTCGTTTTCAAAAATTGCACTTTAGAAGGGATATTAGAGTTTGCGTGTTTTTTTGTTTTTGAAAAACGGCGGTTTTTTTCGAAATAACAGTTTAAAAAAAAAACTGTAATCAGTAATTGTTAAAGTATTTTTCAGCATATTCAGCTGATATCTTGGATTATACTGTTTTGGTTATTTCTCGTTGAAATAGCACATTTCCTGTATTTTATTCCCAGTTTAGTGCCAGATTTTTTCTATGATTTGTGTCTTTTGTCACTTGGACTGTGGTATCACTTTATTATCCCATTGCTTGGATTTGCATTTCTCAAAATTGTCATTTGCTCGCTGAACGTTAGTTTTCCTTTTTAAAATTGCTCCAATGAGCGCTGATGCTCTTCAACTTTGTCGTCCTCCTTCCTTTCTTTTATGTTACTTTTAAAATAACGTGCTGAAACAGCAAGAGTTATGATTGGTTTCGAGTATCAGTGGGTGTCATATCCTTGAAGGCCCTATTGGGACCTGAGGAAATACTTCACGGTGTTTGAGCAGTACGAATTTTTATCAATCATATCACCTGTGATAGAGTTCCTCAAGAAGCCTGAATTAAAGATTGAAAAGAAGATATCAAGAAAAGAAGAAAACAAAGAAAAGAAGGAAAGGGATAATAAAATGGGAAAGGTTTCTATAGAAATATTTGTAATAGGTAAGAAATGTTTCGGTCCAGCCACAGTTGGGCCTCGTCAGTACGACGATTGTGGTAACAAAATAATTTAGTAAGGTTTATAAATTAAGATAAAAAGATAAAAATTAATTAAGATAAAAAAACGCGTGCATTTCGGAATCTTACTTTTGCAACTTTGGTCATCAATTATAGTAAGGTCGATCTAGTTGCATTTTTCCTACGGCTGATATGTCCGGAGCTCTGTGACCTCTTGGTCGGTCTACAGATGATTCTGGGGTTTGCTTTTCTTATTTGTTCATAATGTCGTGCGAAAAACCTATTCAGCTAGCAATCCATCAAATGTTGATTTGCCGAAAACTACTGCCTTATTAACTTTGCCTAGCAATCTGTAATACAGTCTTCGCGATGAAATTATTCCAGTTTTTGGCCATTTCACTCCACCAGAATAGACATAACAGCTGTTGATTTGACTATCAAGAAATTTACAAAAGTACGATGTATATTAATGGAATTCTAGTTATCAGGAAAATGAGATGAAACTTTTCAGGCGATTGCTGTTTGTCGTCCAGTGATCAGTTATTGTTTTTTAAAGTTTCCTTCAGTTAAGACATTATGTATGAATAACAGCATCCAAGTTACTCTGACACTTGCCGTTGCTATTTTTCTGTCATATGCAACATTTATGCTACGCGACAAGATTGCCGTCAAAGTTAGTTGTAACTCCATTTTTTTTTTTTGAATTTTTGGCCTATTTTTTTTTCAAAAACCGCGGGTGAAACGCCGAATTTCCAGGATTTTTTGTAAGGAACTGTGGTTGATTGATATCTCATTACATTATCCATTCATTGCTTCCAATAATATAATATATTTCTCAAATATTGAGGGCACTGAGGGATTCTGTTTGCTTCAAAATAGGTGTTTTACGCAAAAATGTTTATCTATTTAAAAATATGAAACAATATGAAACAAAGCACGAGATATCGGATAAGATCATGCACTTCGCGCAGCTCTACCTTGTAAAAAAGATGCCAGCAAAATCCCCCAGGAGCTAATTATCTGTAACTAGGAAGCTGGCGCACCTGAGAGCCATGTTTATGTGCGTTTTGCATTTATGAAAAGTCTGTCTGATCAGTGCTGCCGAAAGAAAGCACAGAGTTACCCAGAACGAAAGTAGCATCAGTGTGCCACTGCAGTTTTACTGTAATTTTTCAGTCAAATAAGGATTTTTTTATTTTTTCTGCTAACTTTCGTTATGTTTTTATAGCGTTTGACCGTGAGGCTACACGATTTACCAAGCGATACGAATGGTTTCCAGTTTGCCGTCATTTCGGATCTTCATGCAGGTGCCTCAGTTTACAAAGAGCAGATTGCCAGAGTTAGTTTTTTTTTTTTTTTGGAGTTTTGCGAATTTTCAGAGAACTTACACCATATTCTTTTGTGGCTTTTCAGAAGTCCTCCTAATTTGTGGACTGATGCTAATTTATGGATTTTTTTTTTTTTTTTGATAGGAAGTGAAAGAAACTGGCTCAGTTTGCGGTACTTCTGAGAAGATAAATTATTTTTGTCATGGGAGTCGAAAAAAGCTGCTTTTTCCAACGGATTAATTTAAATCATTTACCAATCGACACAGATAAGGACGTCATTAGATCACTCTTTTTCTAATGAAAAAACGACGATCTGATCTCAAAAAAAAAATAATTGGTCGGCGCACTGACTGATGGTGTGAAGATGCGTTTTTTGCACAGTTCCCCACAGATTTTTGTTGCTAACGGCCCTGTTTTTCCGGCAGTTGCTTTTAGCTTAAAGAATTGAGATTGGCCACCACGACTGTAAAAAAACATTCATGCATACTTGGGGGCTGGATTTGAACTCATTAATTCCTCCGTGGATGGAGAGCATCCCCACAAAATTCCAGCTTTCTAGCTTTTCAAGTTTTTGAGTTTGCAACTTACTCGCCGAGTAGTACGTGTGAACCACGTAGGCAAGAGCGCCATTTCGAGGATGGGGCCCGTACATGCATGCAGATTAAGTTCCCAGAGTTTCAGCCTTGTAACTTTTGTAGGTCTTAAGTCTTAAGAGACACAAATGAACACATAGACACATACAGACAACCCTCGACAGTATGCATTTTTGCATTACATAGATGCAAAAAATGTATAAAAAGTCGATGCTAACTTACGTAGAAAGGAAGTACACATGGAAATAATTGCAGGTTGTTGATTATGTTAATAATGAAGATGTGAATGCAGTATTTTTTGTGGGCGATGCAATTGACGCTCCGAGAGACGTCATTGAGGATCGCGTAAAAACGCTAAGGTACATTTTTTTACGCAAAGTGCTGTCCGAACGAAATTTTGGGTCAGTCTGAGGAAAATTCAGGCCATGACCACGAGCTAGGGAAGGGGCGAGGGATTGGGGGGAGAGGGAGAGTGTCGGCGATACATGTTCTGTCATACTGCAGGCTTGCTAAATCTGCATCACAAGTGTATTATGTTGCTCCTTAAGAGTAGTGCTGTCCACATCTGCCATGAGATCCTAGAGAACAAGTAGAGCGATCGCATTGCTTTTGCGAATCAAATCGTTGATTTCTTGCAAGAAAGCCCATCAAGCTGCTATCTTTTGCTGAATTTTTAGTTTTCCATTGTTTTAAAACTACTTTTATTACCAGGTATCTGAATGCAAAAACATTCTACGTGAGTGGTAATCACGATTATTACTATGGTAATGCTGCCGAATGGTTTGAATTGTTCAGTCAGTATGGATTTGAGGTCCTCAATAATAGGTATTTAAATTTTCACGTTTTTTTCATTTTTTACTGAATTATCATTTTTTTTAAAATTGCGCTTGATCATTCAGGCATGTGAATTTTCGCGGCCTATGCATTGCTGGAGTGAATGACTACTCGAGCGAAAGAAGTGGGTACGTCATTCATTCTTAAGGTTTTAATTACACTCACGCATGTTCGTTTGACCCGCCGTAAATAGGTCAGGAAGTTGCGGTCGTGGATTTCGTACGTGAATTTTTGTGATCATTTACGCATCTCAGTCCCAATTTTCTGTCGAAAAATTGACATCATTGTGTTTTTCAGATTGCCTGATCATAAGTTCCAGCCAGTGAGGGCGCTAAAAGGCTGTGCCCAAAACAGTACAGTTATTGTGCTCTCGCACAATCCGGCTTCGGCTCAAAAAATAGCCTTCAACGATGCTCATCTGCGTGTTGATCTCATTGTATCCGGTTAGTCAGCACTGTATTCAATGTAACTACAACTTAAATCCAGGCTAAGCACTTTCCTCGATTAACTTAATTATAAACCTTTGAAACTTAACTTTCTCATTTCATTTTTTGAGTCAACTTCCTACATAGGATGAGGTGAAGTTTGCTTGTTAAACATATTTCCATATTTATGCGTTTTTTGCAGCTATGCAATGCAAAAACGCATATTGTCGAGGAATTGTCTGTGTGTGTGTCTGTGTATGTATGTGTGTGTGTGTATGTGTGTCTGTGTGTGCGTCTGTAACGAGTTTTCATCTCGAGATCCAC